TTTATAGCCTCCCAAGAGCTGAGATTACAGGCACGCGCCACCACACCCAGTCTCAATTGCATTCTCTGCGCACCCCGAGGGCAAGGTCAGCACAGATTGAACCCCCCAATTAATAAATCTTAATAAATCATTCCAATAAAATGTACTATAAGTAATACTTAGGTACCTAAATGTGATGGCCAATCTTCACTGTCAACTTGATTGGCTTGAGAGATGCCTAGATTAGCAAAGCATGCCCTGCGTTAGACTGGGTGTACTAGGAGACTTGACATTAAGGACTGGGTACCTCATCCCTGAGCTCTTACTCTGCTTTCTGCTTCCCACCATAACTTAAGTATCTCTGTTCTGTCACACTCTTTCACCACTAATCTCTGTACTATGGACTGAAACTTTTGAATTCATAAGCCAAAACAAACACCTTGTAAATGAAGCTATGGGGGCCGGGGAGATGGCTCAGTGGAATAAGCGCTTCCTGGCAAGCGCAAGGGCCTGAGTTCAATCCCTGGTTCAGCAAAAATAAATAAATAAAAATAAAAATAAAATGAAGCTATGGGGCTGGGGAGATGGCTCAGTGCAATAAGTGCTTCCCTGGCAAGCACAAGGGCCTGAAGTAATCCCTAGTTCCACCAAAAAAAAATAAAAATAAATAAATAAAATGAAGTTATGAGGTGTTTTGGCCTACTGACAGAAAGGTAACAAACACATTAAGTTTTCATGATTGTTAAACAAGTATTTGCTAATTTCACTCCTGCAGGATAAAAACATACTCACCATGTTACATGGAAAGCCTGTCGACATCCATGTTTATTACATGTCATGCAAGCACCAGTGGCTGCTTTACTTTCTCTTCCTTGTTCATCACAAATGTAGCAAGTCTTAGGACAGAGGAACAAAACCAAAAATGAAGCAAAAGTCCCATAAGTGCTTAATGTAACTCTGAACTTTACAGTTGTCTTCAGAAATGAAGATCAAAATTACTAATCTACTTCAAAACGTGACACTTTTAAAGACAGTAATCTAAGTTTTATGAACAACAGAAACAGGGAAGCATAAATAGAAATACAAAAATAGTTCTAGAAGTAAAGTTCACAGAGGCAATGTTTTCATTAATCTCAAAAGCTCTGACAAGCAGGAAGGCATTCCACAGGCACTGGGGATGAGGACACTAGTACCTAGTTTACTTTGTCTTTGTTCTTAATGTCTCACCAATATACCTAATTGATTTCTACATGTAGGATATTTTTTAAAAAGAGGCTTATCTTTTCTCTGCTCTTAAAGATCAAAGCCCCAAACAAAACCAGTGGGGGGGGCCTGCCCATTAGCTCAGGTGTTTAAGTGCCTGCTGAAACAAAGCAATAAGGCTCAGGATGCTGTGGTTCAATCCCATCATACTCAAGCCAAATCACACCTGCCCTGAAGGCATCCTGAGTGCCCCCCCAAAAAAAAAACTCCTTCTGCCAAACAAAACCAGTGGAAATCAGAAGATACTCCATAGTTTCAAAAAATTAAAACTAATTTATACAGAAATCATAGCATTTATATTCTTTTTAATTGGTCTATATATATGCCCCTAGTTTCACACAGCACAAATCAATCAAGTAGTCCAGAATTCTTGCAGCATGATGTTTTCCTTGGCTTTTTCATCACTATGGAGACACGGCAGTAGGTACAGAAGGTCCTTAACATTTCCCTATAAAGAGATCAGATGGTGTGATACCCATGAAGTTAGTAGTCATAGGTCAGCACTTTGAGCTTCCAGAGAAAAAACATATTTGACCTATAATGAGAGGGGAGTGCAGATTGTATATCCTACAGATCTGTAGTTAAAGAAATGTTATTAGCAACAGCACAATCAAAATAAGAACTTACTGCTAGGTGTGCTCTGCTTCTAGTATCTGTTTAATGCTTCATGGTTTTCTACTACCTGGTCCTAATGGACATCACTACTGGGGAAATGAACCATCATTATCCCAATTTCAGACCTAAATTTAGAGGCCCTGCTTTCTTTCTGGCATCTTGAATTATCCTATCACCAATTATAATTACAAACACAACATATTTACATAACTATAAAAAAACCTCAAGTCTTCACACTACCTGCTCCTGTAAGCCAACTACTGATCTTGCGTCTGTTATAGTTCTTCCCATCTCCATATCCTGAGTGTGCACGTTTGGGCAGAACCTTGAGTTATTTTAGTATTTTGCCTTGATAGTAAAATACTAAATTGATTTACATTCCATATCAATTTGTCTAAGGGAAAAAAAACTTTCGGCAGAACAGAATGACTAATCTCAATGCATGAAACATCTGGGAAGAGCATAAGAGCCAGCAAGGCAGAAACCAAGTCTATTGTAATGTGTGTGCACTAGTTATTTTCAAGCCACAAAAACTCCTATTAAAAGAGCCAGACAAGTGATCCTCACAATTCTCTTCAAGGATACACATATGCATTATGGTACAAAAGATCATAACCCATGATAATCTAAATATCAGCTTTTTGAACTGGGGGAGGTGTTGCATGCCTGTTATTCCAGTATTCAATAGGCTGAGGCAGGAGCATCACAAGTTCAAAGTCAGCCAGGATTATGTATAAGAGTTCAAGACCAATCTTGATGACACAGCAAGATTCTGCCTCAAAAACAAAATAGAAAAGCACCTAAATATTCTGTGCTACAGAAGTGACCATCACATTTTCTCCTTAAAGATAGCCTGTGACCATGAATAAATTCATTCATTCATTTTACAAGTGACTTACAACTACAGAAGCTTATCCCAAGACACATGACGTTAGACTTCATCTAGAAAATTCACCAGATTAAGGGTAGAGGCAGCTCCCTCAGTCAACTTCCAGGCACTCTGCTGCCTGGCAATATGAACATGATGCATAACTTTCTTAGTCCTGCATGGTTGTTGTGTGTGTACAGATGTGCTCTTTCTTACAGGATTACACTACAAGCAAAGGAAATCACCATATGTTCCTACATTACTGAACAAGAAGTGCACATTTGTAATGATTCTTTTTTACTTATCAGCCTATGCCCCCAAAATTCACCCACACTCCAAAAGCCTATGGGTCATAAATGTCTGTCTGCGGGGTATTTTTTTTTTTTAACCTAAAACTAAAAGACAAAAGAAAAATATTTCTGGTACATGGGAGGAAACATTATTATGTCTATTAAAGTTTAAGAAACCGGCTGGGGAGATGGCTCAGTATAATAAACGCCTGAGTTCAATCCCCAGTTCTGGGGAGGAAAAAAAAGAGAAAGATTGAGAGAGAGAAAGAAACAGAGAGAGAGAGAGAGACAAAAGAGCAAAAAATAAGACAAATGACAAGTCAGCCATGAGTATGCCTTTTGAGTTGGGAAATTACAGGTATACCCTCCAAAGTGTTTTTGCAAAGTGTTTTATTTACATATTTGGGGTATATATATTCTGGGAAAGGCTTCCTGATGTTTCATCAGTCTTGAAGCTATAAAAGAAAAAAGTTTAAAACTACAAGTTTAGGGAGTAGAGCACGGCATAGTGATAGTGTACTTACCTAGCACTCATGAGATCCTGGGTTCAATCCCACATAACAAAATAAAAAAGACCTCTTTCATTTAAGAAAATGTGACTTGCCTTGAAAATAAATCTCGGGGCTGGTGAGATGGCTCAGTGGTCTAAAGCACCTACTTAGAACAAGCTGAGCAAATCACAGGGATCGCGGTTCAATCCCCCCAGCACCACATGCCAGCCAGCCCCGCCCCCTGGTGGGCTGAGGTGGCCACACACACACACACACACACACACACACACACACACACACAAATAAATAAATAAATAAATCTCCCTAGCAAGAAGATACTTTGTTATCTATAATATTAAAATCAATTACACAAATCACAATGTACTTGTTTCCAAACTGACTGTAACAGAGTCCTCTAACAGCACATATTCCAATCCAAATATTCTAGTCTTATATAAGGGAAAAAAAGGAAGACCCAATACACAATTATGTCTGTTTCTATCAAGTGATCTTAAATCAGCTCTTTTAAGAATTGTACCCAAAAATCAATGAGAAGAAAGATTTGTGCTAATATTGTTTAGACAAGATATCATGTCTGCAGATTGTACTCCAAATAACTACCAGAAGACAGTATGCAATGTATTAATTATTGCAACTGTCCTACTAAGAATTGCACCCCAAAAGACTCTTATATTACTTAAAATACTTTTTAGCTTGTTGCAAGTAAGTAAAAATTCTCAACTCATGCTAAATGCTAAAATGTTTCATCATTTAAATGACAGGATCGGGGCTGGTAAGATGGCTCAGTGGTCTAAAGCACCTACTTAGAACAAACTTAGCAAAGCACAGAGACCACGGTTCAATCCCCCAGTGCCACATGACAGCCAGCCCCGCCCCCTGGTGGGCTGAGCTGGCGAGAGACACACACAAAAAAATAAATAAATTAATTAATTAATTAATAAAAATTTTTTAAAAAGACAGGATCAGGGGCCGGGGAGATGGCTCAGTGGAATAAGCGCTTTCCTGGCAAGCTCAAGGGCCTGAGTTCAACCCCTGGTTCCAACAAGAAAAAAAAAGAAAAAAGACAGGATCAAAACTGAGTCACACTACATGTCCAAGAGTCCCAGCTACTCAGAAGGCTAAGCCAAGATGGTCCTTTGAGCCCAGGGGTTGACACAGCAAGACTTGTATCTCAGACAGAAAGATCAAACAAAGGAGTGGGGATGGGGCTGGTGAGATGGCTCAGTGGTCTAAAGCACCTACTTAGAACAAGCTAAGCTAAGCAAAGCACAGGGACCGCGGTTCAATCCCCCAGCGCCACATGCCAGCCAGCCCCGCCCCCTGGTGGGCTGAGCTGGCCACACACACACACAAAATAAATAAATAAACAAATAAAAAAATAAATTTAAAAAAACCAAAGGAGTAGGGAGAAGAGGGGAGGGTAAGGGACAGAAAGGGATATACATCAGGAACAGCACAAAGGCTCCTTTTTTTTAGGCTACTTTTTATAGTGGAACACTTAGGGGACTCTCATGCATGAAACTAAAGAAGACATGTTTAAGCATCAGACCCACACCTCTTTTCTAAAAGTTAACTTCTGTACATAATTTGTAACAATGGAATGGTACGTATATACTTGTGTTTTTCTAGGGGGAAATTGCTCATAAGTCCAGGTACTTAGACCAGAATTGCTCTGTTAGAAACTTAGGCCTACAACCCTGAGTCTGGTACTTATAAGGAACTCAGCTAAAATGGCAAGCAGAGAATTAAAAATGCTAAGTGACAGGAAGTGGAAGTGGCAGTAGGAATCTCATCAAAGGTGCAACAAACAGTATTAAGTTCCTCACTTTCTAATTCCTGATCCAGCTTCTTGTGTAGTTCAGACTGTATATTGATTTTGACTAGAATAAGCTTTTGTCTTAAATCTAATACTCTTTTAAAATATTTCTGTGGAAAGAACACATGTCAAATTTGATGCCTTTTGTTTTGAAACATTGTCTCATTACTTGGTGCAGGCTGCCCTTGAACAAAATATCTGGAAATTTATAGCAAATTTCCTATCTTAGCTTCCTGAGTGCTGGGCTTACAGGCAAGAGCCACTACGCACGGTTCAAAATGCCCTGATACCATGTTGCCCAGGAATATAATCCCTTCACATATACTGCATTTGTACTGTTTTGGGGCCAAAATACTCTTTTGAGGACTGGCCAAATAGCACAGAGGATTAAAGCACCTACAAGCAGGAGCAGGGGCCACAGGTTCAATCCCCAGGCCTGCCCTGCTGGCCCCATCCCGAGGGCGCACTGAGACAGCAATTGAGACTGCGTGTGGTGGCGCAAGCGTGTAATCCCAGCACTTTGGAGGCTGTA